TGAAGGCGTAAAATGTCATGCAATAGTTTTGTCAGTATTTGCCCGAGTAAAATATATTGAACTGCAGAACTGGAAAGAACGATAGGTGATATATATCAATACGGCAATACAGTGTATGTCTGTATATATCTTAGATACTGTAACATCTATAACATCAAGCTTCTGTTTTATAGTTTGATATCTGTACTTCTGCACACAATTGGAATTTTAAGAAATGAGAATGAGGGGCAACCAGGGAAGCTAAACCTAGCGTAGGGCCCGAGGGAGGGAATCTATCCCTGCTTGTCTACCTGAAGATCCGTTAGAGAGCACAAAATATTAGATTTTGCATAACGTATAAGGGAGAGAGGTGTAAGAATATACCCACCTTTGGCTACCCTCCTGTTGTTTACTCGTCTGCCTGAGGCGTCGTCTATAACAGTAGCAGGGACCAGCTTTGTAAACAGAGGTTAGTTCCAGTTTTTGCCCTCGAATTCCTAGTTTGGGCATGGCTCCTGGAGCCTCTCCCCGGCGTGCGAAGAGACATTGCGGCAAGGCCAAGGTTGGGCGAAAGCTGTAGCCTTATTTTTTTATTGCGCCTTTTCCCGACGGGTCCTGAGATAGATAAATGCGTCTGCTCGGTATTATGATCTTTACAGGGTGAACAGCAGTCCGTTCTTTGTCCGGTACTTTCTTGTATATAATGTGTATGCAAACATACGTAGATGTGTGTGCGCATATATATATATATATATATATATATATATATATATATATATATATATATATATATTATATATATATATATATATATTATATATATACATATATATATATATATATATATATATATATATATATATATATATATATATATATATACACACATACATATATACATACACACACACATACATATATATATATATATATATATATATATATATATATATATATATATATATATATATATATATTATATGTATACATTAACATACACACACACACACACACACACACACACACACACACACACACACACACACACACACACACACACACACACACACACACACACAACAACACACACACACACACACACACACACACACACACACACACAACACACACACACACACACACACACACACACGTATATATATATATATATATATATATATATAGAGAGAGAGAGAGAGAGAGAGAGAGAGAGAGAGAGAGAGAGAGAGAGAGAGAGAGAGAGAGAGAGAGAGAGAGAGAGAGAGAGAGAGAGAGAGAGAGAGAGAGATACAGTCAAACACACAGACAGATAGATGGTCATGCACAAATAGATATAGAGGTAGAAAGATATATAGATGATTAGCTAAGTAATTAAATTGGTAGATTTAACTGACATGTATGAAAGTTTCAGAGAAGTAGGAAATATATAAACAGTCAAGTATCAATCGTCTCCACTGTGGTGTTGTTCAGCGCCATCTCTTGCTTGGATTAATAATCATAATTGCGTTATCTAAAATACCAATAGTGAACTTTCTTTCCATGATTCCCTCTAAACTCTTCTGAGTGGAAGGAGGAGGCTAAGGTAAACAAATGTATTTTAATTGCCGAATGTCATGAAAACATTCCTCTTCATAGCTTGATAACGTATGAACAGCTGGGAGGAGAAGGGATGATATAAACATGACCTGTACCTTTATAGACATAGACCTTTGCCTTGACATACGATACAATGAATGTTACAAAATGTTACGACATTCTTATTCAAAATCTGTCATTCTAGGATTTACTTCTGGACGTACTAAACGCTGGGTTAAAGGCTGAAGGAAGGTAAAATAAATATGTTCTTGCCTGAAAAGGGAGTCATGTCAGATACTGTCATGTCGATAGTAGCTTTTGATAAATGAATCAAATTTTGCTATGTAGTTTCAAAGAGTTATTTGATTGCATTGTAATTATCATAATTACTTATAATTTCTGCAGTTTAGGTTGTTTTTGGTACAGCCCCCTGCATTAGAGAATATAGTGACTGGATCTGTGTATATTATTTACATATTACCCTGCAATTTCCCTGGTATCTTTCATGCCCTACTCTGCTATCGGGGCCAAGAATGTGGGGGTTTGGGGGTTTCCGTGCAATGATTTCTATGTATTTAGTAACTTCACAGTGAGAGGCATCCAATGATACCAAAATCATCACAATCCATTATGCGTAACTATTAGAAAAAATTACCTTTTTTAGTTTCACACAGCTATCCAATCTTGCAATTATTATTCTTCCTTTCAATTATCAATGTAGCAATATGTGTGAAATATCCTGAGCATAAATATCAATTTGTTGTTAAGATATACAGTGGATATAGGGAAGTTGTTCATTATGCAAAGACCATTAGGTATTTTCAGAGACCATACTTTATTATAACTGTTGTGCATTAAGGTAAGATTTTTCCTTTACCTCCTCAATTTCCCAATGGAAATCTATTGACAATGAGAAGTAGTAATAATACACTTCAACATTTATATATTTCAGTTGTCTCACAAATTGAAGATGCCACAACCACGACCCCCAGGCTCCTTGAAGGAGCAGTGTGTCCGCAACATCACAGTCAACATTGACAGCTTTTGGTGCCAAGACTACATCAAGAACTGGCTCGATCAGAGTAAGAGCCTCATCTTCGTTCTTGGACCGTTTGAGGATTTGCGTAAGTACGAGAGGTATGTCAAATTTGTCATTTGATCAGATGTCTTTCAGATGGGTATCTCTCATAGAACTTCTATCCTTTTATCACTGAATATATTGATTTTTTAATTTATTTTTGCTTATTTTCCAATTTTCTCTATTTTCATTTTTACACCTTTTGTTTTGATCATTCACTTGAAATCCATAGGATATAACAGTTGTATAATGGTGATGGAAAATTTATTATACCATTTTAAAGAGGCAAACCAAACTATTTTTTCTATTTTAGTATTTAAGTGTTAACTGTTGCTATAGAATTTTGTATTTTAGAAAAATTAAATGACATTCTTTTAAGCCAAAAAAAAATCACTTGAATATAATCTTCCTCTTTTTCAAACCAATTCATTAGCTCCTCTCCACAGCGAGTACGTTAATTGAGTTGATAATTGAAGAGCTGAATGCTTCTGGAAAGCTCAGGAAACACCACCTTCATCTGCTACTTCTGTACCACCTAGAGCGACTTAAGCTGAGTCGGGAGACCTCGGAGTTCAGCTATATCTTGTCCCTCTTGGCTCAACGTTGCAAAGTAAGCATGGCATTTTGATTCTTGTTGTACATTTGCTATTTTTATTGATGATATTACTGTTACAAAGATTTTAGGGGGACTTTACCCAGATGAAGGATAGAAAAAAAAAGAGATTGAAGGGATGTTAGATAATAAACCCATATAAAAAGATTTTATATGTATATATATATATATTTTTTTTTTATTGTGATTGATAGCACACATTTGTTGAGACGAAGGTTTAGGTGGTTCTCAAATGTGCCCAAAGTAGGCAGGCAGGCGGAAATGTAATCTTGTGAATGATGAATAATGAACTGTTAGTTTCATTTCTGGTGTATGTACATTTATTTCAAAGCCTTTCATATGTAATGAAAATTGAGTTGAGATATGCGCAGAGAAGATTTATGTAGATTTCTTTTTAAAGATGGGTAATAGATGTAATGGAATCACCATGAAAATGGTTACATAAAAAAGTAGATGTGTATATATGAATATTGTGCATTTTCATTAGACTAGGTATCTTTTGTTACCTAGAAAAAAGATGACATCCTTTTTTATAGCACATTCTGATTCTTCATTGATTATACGTTACTTGAGGGGATTTTTTTTTTTTTTTTTTTTTTTTTTTTTTTTATACAAGGGAATAAAGCAAGACTGTAAACCCATAGGCTAGTTTTAACAATTGAATTAACTGTTATGCAGACTCAACTTTAGGCCTTTAATTGTTCATGATCAGGTGGGGTTGATTGCAAGCCTGTGTCATATTGCAAATCTTGCTGAAGTGTTTTGAACAGGCAGTGACTTTGAGTTCCCAGTGTTGCATGCCTGCTTTTGTGATTGAGTAAGTCATAAGCTGAAAGTGGTTTTAATTTTTATATTACATATATATGTTATTAACAGTTTAATGCTAGGAAGGCAAAAATACATGCCATGTCTACTGGGATTTTAGTTTATTGATGATGCTTACATATAGATGGCTCCTCAAGAGCTTCGGCAGCAAGGAACCATTTACTAGTCCTAGCTACCTGATCTCGTCCGTTTACCCTTTTCCTTGATATTTATTAATTATTCTTTATTGCTTTTAGTATTTATGCTGATATAACAATTCAAATGTCAATGATGATGATGATAATAATAATAATGATAGTAAATGCATTAGAAAAAAAAGGAAATTCAAGGAATAGGGGTTTCATGGGAGGTCAGGTAAGCCTACTAGTTGACTCCTTGGTGATTAACCCATTAATGCTGCGTTAAAAATTCGGGTAGTGACCATTAATGCGGCACTGTAGGCACGCCACTACTGTCGTAGAAAAGCAGCTGTGTCTGATGAGCCAACAGTGTGGGAATGGTCATGATGTGGTGCCATCTGCTATGTGGTCCACAACAGCCATGGCATGTACATACATGCTATCCAGTGGGAAGCGGTTAAGCACTTTTTTAATCATCTATTCATATCTATTAAAAAGATTCACAAAACTAAACTAGGGTAGACATTGCAGTTACCGAACCCAGTGTCTTAAGTAAGGGCTACATAATCATTCACTTATTATTTGCTATGAAAATGAGAATTCATCAGTTCTTGTTGCTAAATCCCTGTTTTCAGCAATGACAACTGCTGATGTTGATTAAAGGGAAAGAAATTAAATATGTAGCCTATATACACATAGACAATATTTATAATTTATGATTATATAATTTATAATGGACTCTTTTTTCCTGGGTTTATACAAGACCCACAATATTTTTCATCATCAGAAGACAGATTTTTGTAACCAAACATTCCAGTTTTCTTCATAATTGGCAGTGACTAACATTACACTTTTTTTATTTGTTACCCGCAGTCTTCTATGCAGCCATCAATCTAAATTTTTGATAAATCTCATGACAGACATATTCTGATATGTAAAAGCATTCTCTAGACTTAAGAAATATGATTTTCCAATTGTGAAATATGAAAGTTCAGGCATTATTATTGGCTAAGGCTGAGGACTGGCTAGATATTTCCAGTCATTTGCGTTTAATGTAATCTAATTTCGTTTTATAATGAAAGGTGAAGATTAAAAGAGAGAGAAAAAATTGCTCATTGAAAGGAATGAAATTAACAAAACTTTATTTCCAGAAATTACGTCATCTAGGACTAAAGAGTAGGAATCTACCTCGCAAAATGGTGAATGAAATATTCATCAATTTAGAACTCCTACAGACTGTCGACTTATCCATGACCAATGTTGCTGATCAGACCCTGAGTGTGATTGGTGCTTATTCCAAACACATAAGGTAAGACTGTTAGTAATTTTAGCTAATTATGCTAGGATGGCATGGCATACTTGTTTGTGTACACATAGATGGCTTCACAAGTGCTTAGTCACTGTGGAGTCAATTGCTAGTCTTACCTAGCTCACCCATTTGCCCTTTTTTTTAATTTGTGGAAAGATTCTTTTTTATTATTTAAGTAATATTATTCATAACATCATAATAATCAAAATAGTAACAGTCTCTGCGGAATAAGGAAATCAGGTGAGGTCATGTAGGGCCTACTAATTGATTTCTTTGTGTGTCGGCACTTATGGAGCCAAAACTAATGTGGGTTGAGAAGAAAGAAATTACAGAAGTTCTGATAATTTTGAAGGCTAGTATGCTTAAGGGGATTGTCTGGTCTTTTTTCAGCAATTTTCGCCCATCTTGCCAAAATTGAGTTAAATGCATTTTCAAGGAGTTCCTAGGCCCCCGGTTCTCCCCTGAAAATTTCAAGACCCGACTGTTATTTTTTAGGTGGTAACAGCCATTTTCAATGTCGACTGAAATATTATTTTTTTTACGTTACCTTAGAAAATCGGCAGTTGTGATGCAATGATTAGAGATAATAAAAAAAATGAGATTATTTTCTGAAAGCTTATTAAATTTCACATAAGATAAGACCAACCTTCATTTTTTCAGAATAATTTTTAAAAACTGGCAAGCGTCCAAAAAATGATAATGAAGAAATTTTTCATACAAATAAATAAAATTGATATGCCATTCATATGGAGCATGTTTTTATCATATATAGTTAGTTTGATCTATGAGCAAAACATTTTCATATATATGATATGCAAATGCAAACCTTCCCCCCAAATGGGGGTAAGATTGCCAAATGATCTGGATCACCACCAAAATTTTATGGAATATCAATTAGGCTAAAACAAACCTCAGGTATAAGTGTTATTAAAATCTGTTCATAACTTTTCAAGTAAGAAAAAAAGTTTTTTTTTGGGTGAATATTTTCAGTATCCCTTTTTAAGGTGTCGAGATAGTGGGCTTCGGAAAATATTCACCCCAAAAAACCTAAGGTTGACTTCAAAAAAATGGCTTCTGCATATTATAGTAGAAGGATAGTTCTTTTCAGATATGAATGGCTGTACGTTTTTTTGGATTTTAGATAAATTTTTAAAAATGGTCAATTTCGTGCCCATAGACACAAAAAATTACTGCCACCTTGCTACACTATATAAAAGATTTTGAGAAACCGTTCCGTGCTGGCAGTGTCCGGATTACTTCGGAATGCAGGTAGATGATAGACAATTATGGTTTAGGAAGATATATATTTTTGGAAAGAGAAAAAAACTTCAGTTACCGTTATTTCGGAAGTATACTTTTCAGTCACTTATTGTGGTTTTGAGAGACTCAGTAGTGTATGAGAAAAATGTATTAGTAAAACTGCAAACTTGAAAAGCAAATGGTTTTGCTCAAATTTTGTCAAATATTACCATCAGTTAATCTATTGATCATGAAATACCCCTGCCAGCCATAGGATTACACCCCAGGAATGGGCAAGGCCTCCTATTTATTCAGATGCCATTTTCTAAAATTCCAAAATTCCTAAATAATGTGTTGTAGATTCTGAAAGTGTCATTTAAAAAGTGTTCTTTGAGAAGAGAGTCAGATAGTAAATGGTCAAATAACATTGTTTACTATACATGCATGTATACATATATACATTATACATATACATACATACATACATATACATACATATTACATACATAATACATAATTTACATACATATATTCATACATGTAAACTATATATATATATATATATATATATATATATATATATATATATATATATATATATATATATATTATATATATATATATATATATATAATACATACAAACATGTAAACATACATATATAATACATACAAACATGTAAACATACATATATAATGCATACATACATGATACATATATTCATTCATAACCTACAGACAAACATGCATTAATATATTTATGT